TCTCTGCATGTCCGGGGATTGAAATAACGCCTTCAAGAAGAAACCGCAAGGGCTTTATAACATGGAACCGGACTGCCTCGCCCGGGTGCTCCCTGCACAGAGGGGGGGCGTATCAGGTAAAGGGGGTGGGGAATCGAGCTCACGACAGAGTGCGCACGTTTCGCTGTATATCGTGAAAAAAGTGATGGTTCAAGAACCGCGAAAGGGAGAGACCGCAAGGGCTCGCCAACATCGTGGTACTAGACTGCCTCATTTGGGTGTTCTGCACAGAGTAGGGGGATACAGGCAGGAGAGGGGGTGGGTCGAGCTCACGACGGAGTGGGCACATTTCCATGTGTGTGGTGAAAAGACGAACGGCTAAGATCGCAAAAGGTTGAAACCGCAAGGACTAGCATTGGACTAGCTCATTCGAGTGTTTCCAGCTCAGCGGGAGGCCGCAAGAGTACGCGGTGGGAGGGGGATCGCGTTTTCTTCCTTTCTTCCGCCACATGCTGCCAAGAAAGGTGGAAGAATACCGCCAATCTTTCACGGGCCACCTCGCCGAGATGACACCATGCGCCACTGCAAGAGGCATCCGCGATGTAATCCGAAGCGGGAGGAGGGGGAGAGGAAGAATCCCGGCTCAAGCGCCCCCTGCCTTTCCCGCTGTGAATCAGCTGAGGACAACAGCCCCGCATTATAATCATGACGCCGATGATCAGCAACTCGCCTTGTCAACTTCCACGCACAGAGTGTTGGGTCCCGAAATATCGCGGTAAAAAATTCCTGGCACGACAATCTAGCAACCCCAACCGTAACCCTACCCTAACCCTAACCCTACCACCAAATCACAATTCCGGGACCTTCTCACAATAGTGCGGGTTCCGATCTAACACGGCGAATCTTGAGTATCGCTGCACCGAGACATTCCGTAGGTGACATGACGTAAGATATCACACACCCTTGGACCGATTTTCAAAGCTCGATCACTCCACGACGGAGAGGACGCCGAAATTGAATAGTACGTTTTCGGAAAGCTCTCGACAAGACGGTTCCAACGCCGCCATTTTCGGCACCGCCATTGCTTTTTCCTGCCGAGATATCGAGCTTCGAAAATCGGTCCAGGGGGTTTGATATCTTACGTCATGTCACCTACGGTATCGGGACCACCACTGCAAGAAAAGACAGCTGCATACAGTTTAGAAAGTTCTTCTTTTTCTTCTTTTTTGTTCGTTGAGGTCCGTTGGACTCTTCGTCCAGTCAAAAACACGTCAGCTCATTTGAGCTTGGGAAACGTCACTGATGGCAGCTGGCAGCACCTTTACTTTCATCTTGCATCATGCCTTGATGGCATAATTATTGTAATACTACTGTGCTGTGATGAGCCCACTCCGGAGGCACTCCTTGTACATATACAGTAGTGCTTGTGGAATACAACGTTCTCCGGTCCAATCAAGTGCGGGGCGACGTGGTCTCACATGATTATTCTCCCACTGAAGGAGTCGAGGTCCTTGTGGCCGTCCACTCTCCCCAGCAGCACCTTCTGGACCTGCCTTATCTTCAGGTTAGTTTCGCCTGCGGTTTATCGCCGTTATCGTGGGGAGGATTGTTGCGGTTGTTGTTTTTGTTGGTGGTGGTTGGTTGTCGATTTGATTGTGACTGCTGTGATTGAGTTAGTGGTGTTGGTTGAAGTGGTGTTCGTGTGTGTATGTGATCGTGACTGAGTGCCAACGATGTTGCCTTAAATACGCCTCAGTTTGGTGCGTTACAAGGACGCCATCGACAACATCGCACGTCCGGCGAGCCATGCACAGACGCGCGCCCCTCCCAAACCTTCCAATACACTGCGGTAGCCGGACACAAACGCCGACTTTGCAGTTATAAAAAGTGAGATACATCGCGGTTACGACCAACCCCGAAAACAAAGTCCATCGACCACTACAACCCCCAGGAGCGTTGTTGATCTACGGTGACACTCGCGACAACACTCGTAAGCGGTCGTATCAAGGGAGAAGGCATGGGGATGATCTTTTGGGTACGAACCGTCCAGAGACTTGGTCTCGACGTAGCACGCCCCCGAGCAGTTGGGTCTGTACCGCTCGTGTACCCCCACCACCACCATGTCCGCCGGAACCTCCTCGCGGTTGTGCACCTGATTAACACCATCATCACGGACATCGTTCATCATCATTTTCTCAACGTCAGTCATTTCCATCAACGTCAATATCATCATCATCATCATCATCATCATCTTGATCATCATCCACCATGATCATGATCGTCATCTCGTCAATGTCATCGTCATCGAACCACCATGATGATCATCATGATCATCATTATCATCATCCAATTCGTAAATTTATTACACACACAAATTGAATAATCGCAAGGAGTAGTTCGGGGATTATTGCGCTGCAACAACTGACGTTGACGAACTCTCCCACGGCAACCTCCCATCGTCCAACCACTCAAAACGTTCTACCTTAATCGCGCCGTATGACTGACCTTCACTCAAAACAACGTGGCGCTTTGTTGCGCCGCATGTTGATCAGCGCCGCAAATGACTGACCTTGATGAAGTCTCCAACGGCACCCCACCAGCGTTTTTTCACTAAATTCGTGGTGGCTTAATCGCGCCGCATGACTGACCTCTACTAACAGCGCGTGATGCCTATTGCGCCGCATGCCTATTGCGCCGCACGTGACTGACCTTGACAAAGTCTCCCACAGCCACCTCCCATCGCTCCTTCACGGTCCACTTGCCGCTATTTTTGTCCAGCACTACCGTTCGAGAAGCGTTCGCCAGTGCGTCCGCCTTGTGGCGACTCGCATCCTTTTTACCGCACAGGGGGATAATCCGGACCAAGGGGGGGGGTGTACTCATGGTCGTGCACGTAGTTGTTGAACCATTGACCTCGCATCCCTACAAAGCCGGGACGGAGCGCGCCGGGTTCTCGCCGGACCAGGCTCTCACGTCACCAAGCGCAAAGCACCGTGAGGTAGAAGGCGAGTAGGAAACGCTCACCTCGATTCCGCCTTTGGAGGCGACTCTCTTCTCATTAATTAAACAAACAATAAACACATTACAATGAAGAGCTCCCCAGACCACTCATCCGAGGACGTGACTCGAAGGGGTGTTGGTATCCCTGTTACAGGCTAGTTCAGGGTCGTTGACACTCTGGACTGCTGTAAAGGGCTGCACACAAATATGAACAGTTCAACACAATGCTGTGATTGTCGGCGACAGTATGCATTGCTGTACAAGGCCGCCTAACATGTAAAAGACTTCAACACATCCCCTTCGACGGTGGTAGTATTTCGCACGGGAAGTCTCTCTGTGTTCGTATGTGTACTCCGGATGATTTCTAAAAATGTGAGGCCGGCGGTCGCCCTGTGTACAAGGCCGGTGAGATCGTCTGGCGCAGATGGATATTCCAATTGTCTCGTAATAGTTCCGGGTAGGTGCCCGGTTAAAGGTCAGAACAACTTCCTTGGCACTATGCGGCTTTACTCTACGACCACCAGTGCTGTACCCATACCATGTACTGTACCCTCTTGAGCTACAGTAGTCTCTCGCTTAACCCTTTGACTAGGGCCCAGCAGTACATCCATGGAAATGGAAAAATTACACCTCCACTCTATTCGTCACTCTTACCTCGATGATGGTGAAGATCATGTCGATAAGAACGATGAAGAGCAGCGGCAGGAGCAGAATGGGGTAGCCGAACGTGCTCGTGATGGCCGGGATCGCCTGTCGTGGTGTAGAGAGAGACGCGGCGGAAATGACGCCGGTTCAACTCTGTTGGTGCTAGAGGAACACCTGTTACCGTTGCGACGACCTTTCATTGCAAACGCCATCGCACGACCGTATTGGGAAGAAACAAAATTGGGACCGGTTCGAGACAGAGAAACGGCTCGCAGAGAAGCACATGTTGTCGCACATGTTGTCGGTGTGAACGAATTGGGGCAATCGTGTTGTCCTCCACCCACCGATCCAACCCCAGAAAAACAGAATGTACAGGAGCAGCAGCAGCGGCGGTGGTCTACCAACAACAGCAAATCATACAGCAGCGGTATGTTGCAGCGACGGTCCACGACCGAACTATAACATTCAGCAGCAGCAGCAGCAGCGATGTAACAACAAATCACCGTACAGCAGCAGCGGTCGGACGACAAACCCAGAACACACAGCGGCAGTAGCAGCGACGGGCTGGCGTGGCGTATGATGCGTACCTGCATAGAACTGACGATGAGAAAGTAAAGGTTGGCGATCTTCTTCCTGGGGTGGAACTCCACCGCCAGAAACTTGGGCATGAACGACCACACTTCGTACTTCGACGTCTTGTAGGGTAAAACAGAAAAGGCGGGGGGGGGGGTTCTCATAAGCATGCCGTATCTCGTTAGACCATTGACCTCGCACCCCCACGAAGCCGGGACGGAGCACGCCGGATTCTCACCGGACCAGGCTCTCACATCACCAA